AAGGATGCTTTATCGAGTAATCGATCGGTATATCTATTTGTTCGGTCTTCTCTTGCTTGTCATTCTGTGTTAAGATAATAGGCATTATCATCAGGGGCAGTAGATCAAATGCAATATGTTGCAGCGTGCAAATGGTCAATGGAAAATTGTAGGGTGGGATCGGGGAAAATGGTTATTTTAATAGAGATCGTTACTTACTTCTGTTTCTGTTAAATTCGACATAATTGTAAACCAATATATTAAAAGAAATTGAAAATTAATTCCTAAAAATACAAAAGGAATGGGTCAGATTTTTGACAAGAGAACCAACTTTGATGATCAAATTTACTACACCAACTATTTTGATTTGAATTTAAGCGGGAACAGTCTTATTTTCCCTATTTACGAATTATTTTATTTCTGCATTAGAAATACGTGTTCATACTACACACAAATACTTAGGGATCTATGAAAAGTGCATGTCGATTATGTAAGGATACAAAAGTAAGTAGGTAACAAAAAAATTAGGAGCAAGAGGCAATAAGAGTGCATTTTCCAATTTGTTTTTTCGATTTTTATAGCCTTTATGGACACTTCATGCCTTAACGAGAATACAAACACAAAATAATTGGTAATTTCTGATCGAATGGCACCAATACCAATAAGTCTGTAAGTGGTGTATAGGCCCGAAGCCTTTGTGACTCAGATGGACAGACAGACGGACACAAAGAGCGCAAAAGTGCACTTTTTATTTTTTGAGAGTGAAAGTGCACTAACAAGAATACTTAGAGGTATAGGGATTTAGGCAAGTAGATACTGTTCTTTATATTCACTTAGGCCCGGTGCACACATCCGATTTTTTGAGGTGCGGGGCGCCGATGAGGCACCGCAGCGACAGCCGCAGAATTTGATTCAGACGAAATTCGTATTCTGTGTATGTCTAGCATGGACGTTGGAGATGGAGGATATTGAGTGAATCCGTTCACAGATTTTTACCAGACATTTTATCAAACCTTTCGCAGCACTCCATGCTTTCTTTTTTTCACATGATCATGGTAACTTTTAGAAGCGACATTCCAGATTACTGGATACTTTTTTATTTCATCGATAAAAAGCTCCATTATCAATTTCATCCACCATATTGTAAGTAGGTAGGTACATAAACGGTGAAATGCCGCGTGTGAAGTATATAACGATAACTAACAATGTAAGTACTTACTACAAACTCGGAGACGTGGGAGCGTCACGATTGCGGGTTCGTAGGGAACTGCGGTCGAAAACTGACGCACGCTGGTCGTACAGCTCCGCAACGGCGCCGGACAACTGCGTGCATTGCACGATATAACTGAACGTATGAAATCACGCAACTCCGGCATAGCACGTAAAAAAAACGGATGTGTGCACCGGGCCTTAAGAACGAAACAGCCGAACAGTTACTTTTTGCATTGTTTAAATGCTTTTTGTTACCTACAGCGTGTATCTTGCGCCCGGGAATAGTTTAAAATCTAACAATTTTTCCGTTATTAGTGCTGCAGTTGAATTCTTTTTCAAATTTTAAAAGTTTAACTTCAACATTTGCATGTTCAAAGATAGGTATCTAGATGCCATAAATTTCACACTTCCATTTAGAAGTGGGCCATCTTTGGGGTACGAATTTAGAGCGAATGTTTTTAATAAAATTACAAAATGGAATATCGAAATACCGTAATTCCATCTTCCAATGTGCTATGATTTTCGAGAAAAAAGTTAAAGAAAGAACGCACATTTTTGTGGTGTAGTTCCCATATGAAACGATGTGGACCTTTAGTTTATTAAACAGCGGATGTGACGCATTCCTTCCGCGAAATATGACGTGTTTGTTCGAGAACTTTCTAGAAATATAGGCGTTTGCATACAGTGGTAGCATCTAAGACCCATCGGATCGTAATTCCTTTACCATAAAAGATATTGTAAAAGGCTTAGAGCAAAATTGTACACAATTCCTGCCAGCTCCGAAAGTAAACCATACATGTGAAACACGAAGTTGTTGTGGCAACAAAGTTCTTTTTAATAGTACATCAAATCGAGACCGATTTTGTTAATCACTTTAATAATTAGCTTTCCATCATAAGTTATTGTTAATTACATATGGTTTATTTAATTACATTTAATTAACAATACATTTAAAAGCGTTGAAATGAATTGACAGTCAAAATATTATTCACTCACATATACATAATTTATAACAGCGTCAACTTTTATTACTTTAGCGTTGAAATTGGAACTGTCTTGAATAGCAATTCGATTTGCTTATATAGTAAATTCGAGTCTTCTCGAGTGCTACCGAACGTTCTCAGGTGTAGAATGTTCTCACACAAAACATGTCATATTTCCCTGAAAAATTGCGTCATATCCGCAGTCGTTCTTTATCGCTCATGACTAATCTTTCATGGCGCGTCGATGTCTATCGGGATTTCTAGAATATTCGCTACATTATGGTTCTTCATTGTGATACAATAGCACTTTTTATCCAGACCTGAATTTTCAAAATTTCTCTACTGAGTTTAAAACAGCAAAACTTTGTCTATTGAACCTATATTCTGTATCTTAAATAATAAAAGAGTAACAAATGGTACTAACTTATTTAAGACCTCGAGGTCGCAATAGGATACGTACATAATATTTGGGTTAAAAGATCGGAGGCGATTCTTTCAGACACGAGGTTTTCGCGAGCGCATCTTCTAGAGGCTGTTATTTCGGGGAAAAATTTGTCTGCGAATAAGATTTTCTTTCAAAATTTCCGAGGTGAATTTAACAGGTCGAATTTGTTCACGGAAACAGATTCAAATTCTACAGTTTAGTTTGAAGCATTGAATAATAATTTTTTATTCAATGGTTTAAAAGGCAAATAATCCAAAGCTTGTGGAGTAGAGGTTTCTTGAACGTGAATTTTCTCCAGCGGCAGAATTTTGGGAAGCAAATTTTGTCACAGAACTGAAAACCTAGGTACATATAAAATTATATGCATATAGCAGTTATTCCAAGTACAATTTCCCTTGGAGCAAGAGTATTCCAGCAGTGGGGCGAACATTCCTTGTGGAGGATACAAATTTTGCAGAGGCAAATATTCTATGTGTTCTTTAATGATAAAACAATTACGTCAAACGAGAAGGAATTACAATGATGAAACGATGCCCGTTTTATTAAAAATTGTAATGCGGTTTCAACAATTACATTAACAACATTAACATTGAATTTATAAAATAACAGGCAATAGGAAAACAAAAATGGAGAAATAGAGCGTTGAAAAACTACAGAAAATAATAATATTATTTTTCTACTATCTACTATAATATCGAATACAAAAGATACGCAAGAAAAATAAATATTGCCAAAATCCGAAGTAGTTTTTTAAAATATATTTTTATTGTCAGCTCAACAATTAACATTGTTATACATAGCATAGATAACATATGTGGGTAAGTTAATTGGAAAATGACATTAAAGACTAATTAATTGCGTCTTAAGAATAACAATACTTTTGTCATTGGATATATGTTATAGTCAGTCCCTTCCTCAGAGGTTATCAGGTCTTGTGGTAGCTTACGTTTGAGTCAAGTGTGACTTCTAACACGAAATTTTAAAGCCTAATTTAGAGTTATATCTCGAAATTTTAAAATATCAAAGCAAAGCAAGCAAAATTTCGTTTTAAAATTTAGAGATATAACTCGAAATGTTGCTTTAAAATTTCGTGTTAGAAGTCGAAATTTTAGATTAATTTATTTTGTTCGTGTGTCCCTTTAAGGGCGTCGTAGCTGTTTGAGTCTGCTGTAGCACTGTATTAATTTTTGATTAATGTGATAACTCCTTTGTCCTTTGGGTTCCATTCTATTGCGTTTCCATTAATTTTGATGTTAGGGACATCTGCTATTCTTCTCAGGACAAAGATTTTGGACTGGCACTTTGTTGGATTAATTTGTAGATTGATCGGTCTGTAGTTGTTCCATTCTTCTGGCTCTATTTCATTAATGAATTTCCTGTATGAGTTTATTCTTAGAGCGTTTAGTTCTCTTTTTATTTGATGGGTTATTCAGTTGCCTCTTCTGTTCTTGACTTCTTTCTCTTTGCCACTCACGTCGAAGTCTACCTACTTTTATTTTTAATTAGTTCGATGATGGTGGATAATTCTGATTGTGTGCCTGTGTTCTTGTTGTAGCTTGTTTGAACTATAGGTACTTCTAATGGATATGGGGCAATTACAAAAAAAGATATAAATCAAACTTGACTTCATTTCACAAAAAAAAAGTAATAAACTAAACTAAACAATTCCATTAACAATCTTGCCAAATAGTCACTGACCTCTTTTATTTAGGTCAGTGCAAACAGTGCACGGCCCTATGTTTCAGTATCCACACTAGGTAGACATATGTTTTTCATTTCGCACGATCGAATGGGCTAAAGCCTTGGATTGGATCAATGTAGCAAGCACATCGTTTACCGATTGCTTTCTCAAACCTTGGAAAAAGTATATGGTCCTCGTGGATAATGAGAGTGCATATTGGTTAACAAAGTAATTTTGGATTTTTTTATTAACTGGAGGATTTTGCTACAGTAAAAGTTGTTGTAGATCCATTACGTTTGATTCCTTACATAAGGATTCACTAGCATAAATTTTCATATATATTATCTGTAGAATCAATTTCTGAACACATGAACGCCAGAACGCATACATTATTGGAATAATGAGAAATACAAAACACAGAATTTGGAAATTTAGTCGAGATTTTAAACAGTAGGGTAACCTATACTACAGACTACCCTATACTAGGGTAATTTGTACCTACACATAACTAGGACACGTACAGTGTGCCCTCTGTGGTAGATATTTTTCCCACCTCTACCTAGGGTAACAGATTCCATTGGTTATCCATTTTCTCTTTAAAACTCAAAACGGGGTGCAATGATAATCCACGTTTAAGAACTCAAAACCTTCCCCATAAAATTCAATTTATTCAAAACATCAAAGGTTTTGAGTTCTTAAACGTGGATTAACAGATTCCAAATGGCAAAATCACACAAACTAAAATAGGAACAAAGAAAAATAAAATTTAAAAAAATTAATTTGAGTTAATACTGAAAAATGAAGATGCAACATGGTGTCGCGTGAAACATGAAACAAAACAAGAAATTTTTATGGACTTTTAAGTGAATCACTAATTATACTAAACCAAAAGCGTCTATGTGCTTATTTTATATGCTTAAATTTTTTTTTCTATTATTTTTATTGCCTCCTGTAATTGATGTAAGCTGTTGAACATTAAATCATTATTATTATTATCAGAGAGAATGCGTGCGTGTTTATCGCCGCTAATGCACCCACGAGTCATTTTATGCTCGTAAAAAATAAAAGCCTTAATAAGCAGTCTATTTGAGTTACAATGCGCTATAGATAAATTTACTCAGTCTAAATCACAAGCATGCGGGTTAACCAATTTAAATTAATAACAAACTTGTTAATTAGCCTATTATGTAATAAATCAATTAAATCAGTACATATATTTTGTTGGTGTTAAAGTAATTCGTAGATGTGTTTAAATATGATGGTACCTATATCACGACAATAGATATACTATAAATGGTGTTTAAAAATGCAACGCGTTTCAATTGATGATTAACATCGTTTTCCTGTACAACTACACAAAGCAATTATTGTAACATGCACTGGATGTAGTTCTCCACACATACTTTGATTTACCTAGGTACGCAAAATGTTGAAATATCCCTTTTGGCGTGCAAGTTGCATATTTTTAAAGATAATTACGTGGCTCATATATTTATCTTTCTTTTACACTGTTATTATGAATATAAAAGTGTGTACGCAACAATATTTTCGCCACAAACTGGACATCTCTGATACAGCTAACGGAGAGGCCGATTTAATTTTTCCACCGATGTCATTGTGTAGCACCAATGTAATTAGCAAACGCATGTTAGAAAAATGGGTCATAAACAGGTACCTATACCCGTCATCCTGCTACAACATACACCTACCTACTTATCCAATAATCTTTCAGTATTTATAATACGTCATCGGTACCGAATTTTTCAGAGAATTTAAACCATCTATGGAAACACTTTGGGCGAATTTATGATTATGAACTGCGTTACGGGTATGATTTTCTAAAGTTAGAACGATTTTTACTGGAGCATGGAATTATGAGCCTGGAAGAAAATGCCAACAATAACATTAAAAATTTAATGATGAACGTGAGCTGGAACGTTATAAATTAATCATATTAATGTGCGGACCCCTACAGCTATCAACTCCATGTGAAAAATTGTTGAGCGCATGTTTTTGGCACGGAGTGAAATTTGACTGTAAGGAGTTATTTAATGTGGTGCCAACATCCAAAGGGTTTTGTTGTGGATTAGACCAAACTCGATTGCCTTCAACAAAAACGTATGTATATTTTGATGTTCAGGTCGGACAGGGTGTGATTCAGTGGTAGGTTAAAATTTAAAACGACCATCATTTTGTTTTGAATAAATTAGTATTTTTGGAAATTTTTTTTTTAATAGTTCACATTATGCCCACTACCTAGTCCACTTTTTAGATGCTCATTTTCAACATGCGTTTGCATATCAATTTCATAAAACTGAATACATGTATTTTTTAAGTGTAAACCACATGTTAAGTAAGAGAACTGGATTATCAGTTGAAGTGATGAATGATATTGATGATTACTATTTTATGCTATCACCAGCGGTTGGAATAAATGTAAGTAGACAGAGGAAGTATAGGTACATTAAAGGTGGTTATAATACAGATTTATGTTTTGGAACCCACCCACGAGCAATACCCAAATCCCAGAAGTACTAGTGTAATCGACATGTTCGCACCAGCTGGACAAGAAACAAATATTATCTTGATACCAAACATATTGTATACGGAAAACATTCGTGGAATTGATTTGAGCTCTGTTAATATCATACCAGGTACATATCTCTCTTCATTTCTAAACATTAATTTTTAGCGCAAATGTTTGTTCCACGATGAAAAGGGTACAATTTTTGGACCATACAGTTACAATAATTGCATCGGTGAATGCAGATTACGTAGTAGATTAGCACTATGTAAATGCAAGACGTTTTCACCAAAGGCTAAGATAAATGCCAAAACGTGCACATTCTCGGACATCCCATGTTTGTTCAAACATCAAGGTATGAACGTACTTCATTTATACTCATGCTTACACTTTTCGAAAGCACTTGATTTATATGTAAAATAATATAATATGTAAAAGACACAAATTGTTGGAATTAAATAGTAGAGTGGAGAACTAACTGAATGTAACAATTTAAACTACTTGCAAAGCAGTTTAATTATTTGAAACCTTAAATTGAGCAAGTCCTCAAAAAAAACTTAACAAGCACCGCACAGCTTTGGAAATACTATGAGCTTGTATAGATATAGGGGGTGTTATCTGTCCCAGTTGGTTTGCACAAACTTCATAAAGAACAAGCCGTGTTCTAGATGAATGAAAGGCAAAATTTTAATGTGAATTCAACCGTAGAGAAATGGAATAATCTAAGTCCCAATGAAAAGGTTAATACGATGCAGTTAAATCAAGAGATTGATAATGGTTTAAATTGTAACGACTGTTATCCGGATTGTACACGTTATTACTACGAAGCTAACATAGATTCTGTACCACTCATTTCGAACGATACAAATTTGTACGTATACAAAAGTAAAAGTGTATTTCATCTTATTTTTATAGGGTCATTAACGTGTATTTCGGTACAAACACTCCTAGAATTTTAACGGCGAATTTAATGATGCTTTGGTACGAAGTAATAGGTAAGCGGTCACACATCAACAAACTAAAACAAAAATAAATATTTGTTACAGCTTCTATTGGAGGAATTTTAGGAATCTATTTTGGTGTCAGTTACATTAAACTTCTACAGATTATACGTCTCGTGTTTTTAAAGTGTTCCAAAACATATTTAAGTAGTAAGCGGCTTATGAAGTAACTACCCATTTAACTGTAAGGGCATCAGGCAGGACTACATCAACGACAATTTATCTTAATAATGCACATATTTATTCTTTTTTTATTAAAAATTTGGCTACTTTCACAGTTCTACTAGGTATATAGTTATGTAGTAGTACAATGTAGAAAGTTCGAGATAGCCTTTCAATTGTATAAGTATTAACATAATTTAAAAATACGTAAAGCTGGGTATTTATGTTCTGTTTGTCGGACGATTGAATACGAAGTTTGACTTTTTGGGATGTTATCATATGTTATTTACCCGTTAGATAGAAAAAAGGTAATAGTTATTTACATAAAAGTCAGGAAAATGAAACATTTGGGCGAGGACCCTTCGGGTACGTTAATTTCCGAGTCAAGTAATGTCATTTTACTGACGAGTTTTGTATTAAACTTTACCCAAAACCGTAGTTTAATAAAAAATTTCAATTTTCATATAAAACATTTGTTATTTATTTTGCTTTTATTTTTGAGTGGGCGGGGTTTCAGCCAAGGCTGCTCTACCAACCCAACCCACTATACATTTACAAATATCCATGCCCGAACCCAGAGTCGAACCAGGGACCCTTAGCCCCACAGTCCAGCTTTAACTGAACTGCACCACACTGGCCGGGTTAATGTCAATCTGTCAGTGAGTCATTACAGATATTTAGTAATGGGAATTTACGATAATTCAACCGGTTTAAGGTTACAATTATTGCCACAATTGTTTCTATGGCGATTTCTACCAACTCGGTTAAAACGGTTGAATTATCGTAATCCCCGAATATGACACGTGCGGTCGGAAAAGTGACAGGAGCGGCCGGTAATGTGACAGGGCGGCCAGTAAAGTGACAGGCGGCAGTAAAAGCAGTCTGGTCTGCCTCTGTCATTGAAACTAAACTTGCCTGACATAAAGTAGGCATCAAAATGAAGGATTCATGACGATTTTGGGTAAACACTGTTTATTTTAGATATTTTTACGTAGAATCCAGTGGCGTAGTAAAAAAATTTGTTTTTCTCACCGTCTCCGAGATTTGATCCAAAGTTGGCAACACCCTGTATATCTTAAACTATTCTTTTTGCATTATTTTTCCTGATTACATTATCACAACCTATATTTTTTTAAATTTTGGTCATGACCCAAAAATAAAAATCTTATTATTTAAATATCAGGCCATGGATTTATCGCAATTTGGTTTTGTTTATTGTATCTATAGGGCAGCCGATGCTAATCAATAAAAACGGCTGACGATAGAAACATGCCATTTGAAATTTTGAAAAATCTGATATACTTAATAATAGAATTAATATGTAATTATGCATATAAAAAATTATAGGTTGTGATACATCAATGTAGTCAGGAAAATGAATGCTAAAAATTGATATTAAGATATACAGTAGACTCGCTTTTATGTGAACATTCGCATATATGAACATTCAGTAATGTGAACAACAAAACATTCCTAATGACTACCCTCTAGTGTGAACAGTACATTTTGCAGGTTCGGACTTGCTTGCAACTGTTTCAGTAGCTTATTAGGCATTTTTGTAGCAAATATTGACATTGTAATGGTTCCAGCGCAGAATGAGGTACACGAAAAAATACAGAGCGTTTATTTAACACTGTTTTGTTAAAGATTAACGCACAGTCAGCGGGTGGTTAATAGTGCATCTGGCTAGTCTATGATAAACAAATAATTGGCGATCATTCACTAAACGAATAACGCCAAACAGGTAATAGTTTGACATTTCCAATTACATGCAGAGTCAGCAAAATTCAATCTTACAATTATTAATTATATGCTGCCTTGTAACATTAAAATAAAATCTAAAATAAATAGACAAACATGAGCAAAAATTAAAAAAAAAAGATACAACGGCACGCGGTCACCTATCAGTACACTAACCGCACCCGACCTTGATTCACTTTGGTGATCGGACAAGAACAGGTGTTTTTAACGTGCTATGGCTGTTGTCAAGAAAGTTACTGTTCAAAAGGAAACAATTGCAGTATCTTTTCTTATAAAAAGAGCACACAACAAAGATGCAAAACGCGACGCCAATTTTGCGATTTTTTTTCCGTCCGTATGTATGTACATACGTGCGTGCGTTGGCAATTTCCCGAGATAACGGCTCAACGGATTTCGTTCAAATTTTGCATACGTAAAAATTTTTGTATATGTATATTAGACATACGAAAAATAACAGGCCGAATTTTTTGAAATAGTAACCCACTTATTAACGAGCTAAGTTTTGGAGTGGTTACTAAATTTACTTTAGAGTGATGGCCAAGTTGATCCAAAAAATGGGTTATACAGGGTGGGGCAGAGGAACTTGCTGATTTGTATTTGGCGCCCCTTGGGCAACGGTTGCTCCGAATACAAATCAGCAAGTTCCTCTGCCCCACCCTGTATTAAAATCTCCAACAATTACCACTTTCTGATTGGACATCTTCACCTGATCAAAGGAATCAAAAAATTGCCAGGTGTCTCAAAGTTTTTTTTTTGATGTGTAGATATTAAAAACTATAACTACGTCATGCCTTTGGAACATTCAAGGGATAATAGCTATCGACGAAAAGTTCAACGATGAAATCAAATTATAACTGGCGTCCAAGATGTGTAGATTGGTGTGGGTGGTCACATATGAGAAATATATCGTAGCTACTCTCTTCAGTGTAATACATTGTCCCTTAGACTATCAAAGAAAGGGGACTGACAATATCCTATCAAGGGCAATGCTGCACGTTGAAACCTGTGGCGGCCATATTTTCGGAGCCAAAGTTTATTTCCTTTTTTGCATTTTCGTGTTTATGTGATCCTTAAGTCTCAAAGTGTGAGATCAAAAACATTATTGGACAATGATACATTGTAGTGCACGGAAGTGACAGCCAAAAAACACACGAAGGAATATCGTTTCACATGTAATTATAGGTTAGTTTTCGGTGAAACAACAAACTAATTTGGGCTTCATTATTATTACTCCTCACTCTTTCCTTCTCTAAGCATAATCACAGTTCAGAATACATTTATTTGTCATTACCTTCCAAACGCTTACACATCTAAGGGTTGGTTATAAAATTAACACTTACTTATATTTCGGATGTTGGTACCTAACACAAAAATGTGATCAGCACGAGTGTCAGAATGTAAAGATAAATAGACAAATATCAAAAATATAATTGGTGTGTAAAACACTATTGGGTGGAGTGGAGTAAAATGTGAAGAGATAAATGTCTTATCTTTAGTATAAGCACAACGTGAATCCATTTTATGAGACTAGAAAGGTCAGCTCAGTCTATTACACTTCTACTAGTGGAGTTTTCTTACAAAAAACATAATCGCGCGCATGTATTTCAGACCGCAGGTCAAATCAGGACAAAGCACAATAACACAACATAGAGGACTATAAATTTCCCACAAAAACTCTTCCACCGTTTATGAATAATAAGTTAGCTCTGTGCCGACTGTAGATACGTTATTAGTAAATGCTGTAAAAATGAGATAAGAGTAAACAATTTTTTGCGCAAACAATAAGAAGATCATGCAAAAATGTTTTAAAGCGTAGGCATGTTGTTGGGGAGTTTTTCGTGAGAAATTTAGTCCTCTGTATTTATTGTCCGATTTATTTCTCTTTGCCCTAGATTCCATTCCGAAATTAATGCGCGCGATCAGGAGCTCATAAGTCGCCACAATTCAAAGTGAGGGAGACATTGATATCGATCACGATCTTGCTTCACAATTTAACCATCATTTCATACACATCTTATTTTACACTGTGGTCAGAAAGGATATGGCCAATGCCTTAATAAAAAAGAGGAGCTCCACATCGCGAAAAAGGCGGGTTATCTGATAAAAACCGATAAAATTGACTAGTTTTGAAGGGAGATTTTTGAGGGAAAGATCAGCTTAGATCATTCATGATTATTTCAATTAGGAGATTGTAAGTGGCACCAGAAATATGGGTTCTCCAAGTTCTGACCTGCGACAATTTCATACTCACCCCCGCTTCCATAAATAGGGCTTTAGTAGCGCTGAGACAGAATAAATAAATTACTATTTAATAATCGATCTCCTCATTACTTCTCTTAATGTGTTAGGAATGCTCGACTTGTGACATCACAACCTCACTGCGTAGTTAACATGTTCAGTATCTGATCTATGTCCTGAAATTCAAATGTAAAACATGCAGTGATATTTTGGAAATTCAAATGATCCAAATCATTTGAATTTAGGTAAATTTAAACACTATTCGAAACTGCAATAAAATTTCCCAGTCCGAGTTTTCAGCCTTCTCACCCTATTTTTGATTTTTGTCTGTTTATCGTCAATAACCTGGCACTAAGGTTTTTGTGTCACCAACACCAATTTCCAGTTAGACATTCTTCCCATTCGTAAAAACAATGTTAACCATGGAAATTATTAATACAATTGCATTTTTCTGCAAACAGGTGCAATTGTAAAACCAGCCTTAAATAAGTGATAACACACATATTCAAAATACTATGCATAAGTTTACTCAGGCATAATACGATCCTTATCAACACCAGAACCAGTAGTGTTTTCGATTAACGAACTTAACGACGAAAATTCATCCGATTTGGTCACGCTCAGATCGCTAGGAATGTGTTCGAAATTATCGATTATACTTTTGCTAGAAGACAAACTCAGATCCAGAGTGGGATATTCAGCTTTACCCATTTTCGGAGACGGTTCCCTTAAACTTCTGCTTAGATCTAAGTTGCTGTAATCACTTTTCGGCGCACGAACACTGGACACGCTCAAATCGGCAACAGAAAACTCCATTTTTGGCATCTTAACGCTCGAGATACTCAAATCGGACACGTTGTAATCGTTTCGGCTCGAACTTCTCGATATGTTCATATCCGATCCGACGAAATCGTACTTGTTTTTAAGGTTTAAAATATTTAAATCGGTCGGGACGTCGTATTTCGACGTTTTGATCTCGGTACTGCTCGGAATTTTCAACTGTGAGCTTTTGATGTCGCTTTTCGATTTAGTAGAAATTGGGCTGCTTGTGGATAACGGACGCAGCAGATCTTGCATTTTAAATAAGTTTGGAGATAAAAACATACTATTCGCCGCTAATGTACTTTGAGCCATTGGATCTGGGATACCTAATAATGAACTGTTTGTAAACTTCCCAGAGTTGAAGAGCATGCTAGCAATGTCGGTGTTCATCATCAGACTTGGATTTAAATTTACTGTTGTGCCTAAGCTTGCGAGCATATGAGACGTTTTGCTAACCGACGGTATCGAAATGGGTATTTCCTTGTCGAGGAAACTGCATCCCAATATATCTCTAATAAACGACCAGAGTGTGGTTTCGTTTTGATCTCTTGGAAATTTGGATGTCAGAGTCGTTTTTAACTTTTCTATATATGTCGTGGTAGCATTAAATTTGTCCATAAAATGTACGAAGTCCTTCTCTTTCTGATAGTACTGTGCGCACTTTTTCATTTCATCCATAACGTTCGTCGCTAGTATGGAGTCCTGCACGACACTATAAGACATTAACATTGGACGCCCATATTCGTTTGGCTTTGCTTCGGGTGGTGGGATCACCCAATACGCTATGATGTTTGACTCCAAGGAAGTGTTTTCATAACTGTATGGAGCTATAAGACACCTACTGTTACTGTAACAGTTGAGTATTACACCTAAGTCACTTACACACTATAATGCCAATACAAGGAGTGTAACTATTATCTGAGGTCCCTTTCATTCGAATTTGATAATCGAGCTGTGCGTCAATGTCCCGTAATGTGGGTGTTGCCGCGCAATGGGGATGCGAGTGATACCAACCAACAAGTGTTAAATGCTCCTTTTCGATCATTTTAGCAATTTTTGCTTCTACTTGAGGGGCGCTTTCTCTTTCCGATTTTACGTTACGGCACGGAAAAGCGTGAGTAATTTGTAGGTCTACGATGTATATATACTTGAATATAAATAAAAATTATATCATACTTACTGTGGCTATTTACATCCCAATGACCGGCCAAATATCCACACACTTCCGATTTTGTTAAATGGCAATGAAAATCCAGTAACAAAGCGGCATTTGTTGATAACGATATAAGAAACGGCTGTATTTTTCCCAAATTTGAAAAGGGGACACATTCCACTAACGTATTGGCGTCACTAAAACATTTAATAAAAATAATAATGTTTATTAGACCATTAGATATGATATTTATCAAGTCAATGACAGAGGTTGTGTAAAATATCACATAACTAAATAATTTGAATAAAATATACCTATATAACATACATAATTGTATTACTAACGATACCAAATGTAATTAAGTACACGAATCTGACAAATTGTTCATTTGTAAGATCTTGCTTACAATAAACTTTATTATTATTATTATTATTAAATACTCTTCCACTGAATAATAACACTGGGGCAATAAAAAATGCATTACCTGAAACTTAAATTGTTTATGTCGGGTTTCAGACTTGAAACATTCTGGGAGTTTGTTAAAAAGTAATGAGCCCATATATCTCGGATTATTTTCTGACATACTTAGTCTATGCGCAGGAATGCAGAAATCCTTACCACGCCGTAGATTGTAACTGTGATTATAGTTATTAACAGAAAACTCCTTTGGATTTTCTTTTACAAACATCAGAATTTCTAGAATATATATAGCAGGAACAGTTAATAGTCCAAGTTGTCTAAATATATTTCTGCATGATGTTCTCTTCTTTACTCCCACTATAGATCTCACTACTTGCTTTTGAATTAGGAAAATCCTATGAGTTAAGTTAGATCTACCCCAAAATAGAATACCATATTTAACTTTGCTGTAGAAATGCGCATATAGAAACTTAACAGCACTTTTTCACTAATAAAAGATTTTAATTTAAATATTGCATAGGTACTTGACGAAAAACTTTTGGATACACTGTCTATATGGGTATTCCATTTCAAATTACTATCAAGATAGATGCCTAAGAATTTGGTACATTTCTCCTGAGGAATTGATTTCCTGCTTGTTTTAACTAACAGAGATTCCTTCCTTATGATCTCACGCAGGTTGAAATTTATAATTAATGATTTACTAGCATTGAGCGCTAACTTTATTACTGTTGATCCATTGAACGACACTATTTACTGAAGATTGTGCGTTCTCGACTACCTCACTCATACTATCCCCAGAAAAAAGATAACTAGTGTCATCCGCAAACATAACACTATTCTCACCACTCTTGGATGTAATTGCACCAGGTAGATCGTTTATATAGTATATGAATAGTAAGGGACCCAGAACAGAAGCCTGTGGTACTCCAGCTATAAGTTCCGATTGTAAGGACCTTACGTTATTAACTTGTACAATTTGGTTCCTATTACAGAGATACGATTTAACCACTTATGTATAATTCCGCGAAAACCGTAATATTGTAATTTCTGTAGTAGTATGGTATGATCCACCAAGTCAAAAGCTTTGCTAAAGTCTAAAAACATTCCCATACATTTAGAAAAGATCAAAAATGTAGGTACATGTATACTCAAACATACATTTGAAAGTCAAGCAGAGAATCGCGACATCATAACTAACATATTTGGAATTATTCGGAGAAACAAACTGATCTTAATTTAAACTTGTTTTAAACTGATGTTATTGAGTTATTGATGAATTGATACCATCAGTAAGAGATCCAAGTATGGAGGTCTTCCCCGAAGCAACAATAGTAGGTAGATGAAAGAATAATAGGTATTGACCTTGCGCCGTTCAAAAAAGAACCAAAAACAACGAAAGTTGTGGGAGAAGACAGGGAAGATTTAAGACAAATGAGAATGTAAGGGGCGATTTAACAGCTTGACAGTAGTAGAGCCCTTCTCCACTGAATTGCATTACATACAAGGTGTAACAAGTAAGCATATAAAAAATAGGCGAAAAAAATGAGCACGCTCCCAAATAAAGGAAGGTTCGAAAGGTGTCGTTTGGAAGCTACGCACCCAACAGTCCGAAAATATGCATTTTATTTTCTTTAATTATTTACGTCCTCCAAAAACAGGTTATAGGTACATGCGCAAATTGAATTTAGACCAAAGGCAGTTTTTTGAGTGTGCTCTGCGCGTGTGAACAATGAGAAATCTAACAATCCTTTCATTTTCCTGCCAACTATTGCAGTTAAAACTTTTTGTGTGATTCTGAAAACTAAGTTTCATTATTTTCATGTTCAGATACCCAAATACTAAACTTCGTTGAGGTTTGAATTTTTTTCCGCGCACCTGTTTAAGGAAACGCGATCTTGAGGTTGGAATTTTGATACCATTTTATCAGAATGGAGGTACCGAGAAACTTAAGGCAAATCCGTTAATTTTATGTTCTTACATGTTACAGTTAAAGAAGAAACGCAAATGTTGAGGCTTTGGGGGACGTAGCTCTCAAATGTTCATTTGAGACTTTCACTTTAATTGCGGACAATGTTTTGATCCCTTCGACCACTCCATTTTATTTAAAATCTTTAATGGTTACATTCTGAAGAATACCATGTGGGCAAAACAAGGGGTTCGCGCATGGTACAGTGGTCTTTTCTCTTCTTAGCAATAGATTCTTTGTAAACCTACTTTATCTACATACTTTAATACGAAAGGATATAAATCTCTCGCCAGGAAAGGTTGCCGATTACAGAACACCTGATCCCGGTCTAAAATCTATATTTTTCTTAAGATGCGAGCGGCTTCCAGGATAGTATCATGTTTTCGTTCAACATTGGCACGATCCACTGCTCGACCCAATTAGTTAGGATACTGTAGTTAATCTACATAAAATAGCAGCTGAACTACAGACTTGTTTACTACATAAAAGGAGATGAAACTTGTCAAACTACCAACTATTCAATTGGTTTGGAAAAACTATACACTGAACTACCAATAGGAGAACGTAATTACATAACTACAATCTACGTAATTACATAACTACACCCACAAAATTCAATCATTAAATTACTGCCTAATTCAACCGCTTCGAAATTATATTACCTATGTGGGGATCTGAATATAAAAAAATTTAAAAAACCTTTCAAGCAAAAATTGATTTTGTTCTTCTTTTGCTAGACTGCTACAACAGATATTGAGAAGTGCTTATATTGAAACTCTGTGAGAGAATGCACACATCCAACAACTTTACTCCCAAATATGTTTTGTGACAAAGAGGGAAAAGTTTGCTTTCAATTAGTGCGATAGAGAACAGCTATAAACATTTAGTTTTTATTTTCCAACAAGCGCTATCTACTTTAAGCATTTGTGTTTACGTAATTAACTCAGTAATTAACAAAAAAAAACCTTTTTTGTTAAATACATAAAGCTCATAACCCTCAGTTGTTCAGTCGCCTCTTATGACACGCAGTGCCATCTGCGGTAGGGGTATTCTTTCCCGCCCCTACACGGGTCTGATTTTAATTGGTGTATCTCACCTAAACAAAAGGAGAATGGAAAAAAACACTTAAATGGAAAACCTTTTTTTTTGCCCCCGTTATAGCCAAGTTCAAAATATAGACGTATGACTATGGTTCAAATGTTTATCCTGGAAGTGACGGGTACATTGAGTTAGAAAACTAATGGAGGGAATCAAATGCTTGGCCAGACGTAGACCACGGGAACCAAAAGTGGCCTCTAACTGTGATTAAAGTACCACACCACTTCCGTTATCATTAGCGTCTCACTTCAGTGGCGTAGAGATATAATTTTCTTTCCACTAATAGGAATAATAACAAAAAAAACGTATAGAAGGAGTAAAATACATGCTCTTGGTAAAGTGAACAAAATAGACAAGGATGGGAGAGTATGCAGATTTAATATAATCATTGATTACAAATCTAAATATACATCGATGTGTTCCAGTAGTATAATTAAGGCCAGTTTACTATAGCCACTACAACTTGACAACTCCCATTAAATTCACCGTGTTGATCAATAGCTACAATTGATTGGTTGGTCTCAGGTTCATTACAACGGCAGAGAGATTCAATAATAATTTATTGTTTATTGGTCTCAAAATGTATCCCCACTCGTAAAAAAACTTACACCTGATATCCATATTATAAACTCACACGTTTAGCTGTAAAAACAAGCTTTGATAGTACCTACTGCATATTTGACGAGATATTTGATGAACATTTTCCGGTGCAACGTTTGGTCGAAATCACAGTCAATGAAGCGTTGTGAGCACAAAAGAAAATTTCGAGAGCTGTTCTTGAGATATATTTACAAATGTTAGGTAACCATTTTGCTCAAAGTACTGGTTCGTTTGGAAAACTAAGAAACATAAACTAGGTACCTACAACCTCGCCTACAACATGATAAATGACATGTCTTACCGATGAAAGTAAATGCCCTGTTTCTTCCCTTTATAAGAAATTTTGCATGATACGCAGCTAATCATTCTCAATTCACAAAATTGCGTGTGATAAAAACACTATGCGGCAGTTAGTTATTTATATAAACCAGAGCACAAACCAATCCAAAATTATTAGGTACTTTAAAATGGCAAATTTAATAAAATTTGAATTTGGTGGAAAACTGACAGTGACAGGACCCGCGTTTTCATATGTCAAATAATGTCGGCCAAAATGTACCTTCACGGGAACCTATCCACGCGAGTGGCCTCTATCTGTGGCAACTTCCGTCTACAAAAATTCTTACCCCCTCTACCATTATATTCCCTCCATTAGTTTTCTAACTCAATGGACGGGTATCTCAAAATCTATAGGTACTGGCTACTACACTCTCGCCATAGGTTCTATCAGTTCCATGGACAATGATTGGATGACATGTCAGATGATGTGTCAATATTCACTGTTTAACCTTTCCATATCGAAGCGGGGTCACTCAGTTACCCTAGAGATATTTTGATCACTTAAACTTTTCTTTCGTGACTTTAAGGGCAATGTCCTTGCAGGTAATCCTTACTCGATCAATTTTACGGGAATTAGATGTCATTTTAAGGAAATTGGCGTTAAATTACCTAAACTAAATAAGGTTATAACCGTGGATGTTGGTCGGTTATCCAGAACAGAGTTGGAAAAATTGAAACCATTCGCCAGTTACCATGTACACAGACGGACGGACAGACAGACAGAAAGTCCAAAATCATGAACTCACTCTTTGTCTCTCGTTATTAAAATGTAAACAGAAAAGAAATAAAGTTAACAGACAACGTTACTCCACTCCGGTGAGTACGTGATTTTTCAGATCACCGGACTGGGGGGTTAAATATCAGATCTAGACGCCACAACAATAAGTTGATTATTACAATGTTCGATAGACGCCATGTAAACGTCTGGTATAATCTCAACGATCTTGGACCATCACTTTACATTGCGTTCATTTATTCATGATCATTTGCACTTTATGCTTCATTATGACAAAGAGTTTTTGTCAATTACCTACCTACTTTTTGCACAAAGATTTACTTACTGTGTGAACGTTCTATTGGCGATAGTATTGTGTTTAACAACAACCCGCGATTGGGAAATAGACGCCGCCATAACTTTAGACAGCTCAAACATCTCGTTTTCGAACTCTTCCACGTACGACCTTTTCTCCGTAGCGATGAGCATCGCTGAAAGATGACTTTTTTAATGTTACCAATTAACTCCTTCACTGTTACCGTTAGTAATGTCTCCTTTGTCGTGCTTCTGTTCTCCTTCCTTCCTTTTTTTGTACCATATATTCTTATACGCGTCCAGTTTTTTGCCTTTGTACTTGACCGAAGCCCATCCACAGCCCGATTTTTTGTCAGGGTTTATAAATCGTTTACAAGCGATCGCCCAAGCGCTAGGTGATGCGAAGACGATATCGGTCTCCTGGCTTCTGATTTTTCCGTCCTCCAATAAATCGCCGACGAATTTCTGTCCCTGAGAATCAATATGGAGCATTACTTTCAAGGTAAAGGGAGATTGGCATACCAAGTACTCTATCGTCATAGAACCATTTCCAGGTTGAAGTATACCAGCAGAAAGAAGCATTTGTAAAGTAATTGTGCGACTAGTTGACGTGTTACCTGCATTATTTTTTCCGGTACGTTGCCCTTCGCAATCAAGTTCCTACGGTTAGTAAATTTGTATAAAGCGAGATCTATAACGTTAGTAGTAACAAGAAACTAAAAAGTAACTACCGCAGTTATAGAATAGAAAGTACAAACTTCAAAATAATAGCTAAAAACATGCAAGAATGCCTAAAATTGTATTTTGGTGGAATCAAATACACCTGATGCTGTTACTTTTATGTTTGTCTGTCCGTTTCTGTTATTGACTTAGGACTTTCGTCATCTGACATTTTCACTTCACTCTTCAGATCAGAAAAGTTTGACTAACGCCTTCCAATGGGAGTGAATTGTGCGTGACTGGCTGCCTAAGTGGGGAGATGAGCCTCACACAGCCTATTACACTTAAATGCCAAACCTCACGTGGTACAACCCGTTTTCACTGATGAGGACATGGCGACCAAGCGCCAACGGTCCCTTCGGGGGGGCGGATGAACGAGTACAGGGTAGGGTACTATTGTCCCGGGGGTTGTAATGACCGGCAAAAGCGAAAGAGTTTTCAGTCTATGATGATCAAAGGCATCAGGATGGGGAAAGCAACTGGATTTAGTATGGATTCCTCGAATGCTAAGTATTCCAGAGTTAAAATAGTTTCCCATTATTAAGATCAGAGCAATCGGATTGAATAAAATAATTGAGATATTGTCAAGTTGTAATTTTCAAGAAAAATAAAATATTCTTCCTTCGTATTCAATTTATAGAATCTCATTGGAATTTGGATCAAATATAATACCCATTCGGATCATAACAGGGGCAGTATTCGCGGACCCCTACAAAAACTGCAAAAAGCAGACTGAGAATAGGGACATGGAACATTATAGATCTTCGGTTAGATCCTTAATAGGAGCAGAAAACATGAAGAGAAATGAAATGGTATTATTTGGGTAAGCGAAGTAAGGTGGGAGGGAAGTGGACTGATACAAGAAGACAGAATGATGTTTTACTACAGCAGAGATATTAAAAGAAAAAATGGAGTGGGATTTTGGTCAATGAAGAAATAGCAAAAACTATGGAGAAAGTATTTTTGTTATTTATTATGAAGATAGTGAAATAGAGAAAATGTACGAGAAAATAGAATGGAGAAAGAAGGGAAAAGTTGTTGCAAAATAGTGATGAGGGAACGGAACGCTAGTATTAGACCAAGTGGAGTGAACATCAGTCGTTGGAAATTATGGATTGTGAGCAAGGAATGAAAGGGGTACGTCTAATACAATTCTGTAAAGAAAAGAAGATGGTAATTATAGCAGTCGCAAAAGGGGTAAAGGAATGGGATCCGAATATATAGGAAGAGCAATGGGAATTGAAATGCAAAGGGAGGTTGCAATGAAGAGTAATTACAGAAGACAAATGGAAGAACATGAAGAATGCGATAATCAAAGTGGCTGAGAAGGAAGTGGGGTATAGGAGAGCAAAAAGAGCAAAGAAGCCACGGATAACATTTTAACTGATTGAAAAGATGGAAGTATAAGCGGCAAAAAAGAAATATCGATGACTGATATAATGAATTAAGAAGAGATACTAAAGGGGCGAGGGAGCAATGGCTGCTAAATGAATGCAAGAAGATGAACTAGAATGGCACGACATCGTGGTGTAATAATAAAATCAAGGAAAAATTCAAAGCCAGATAGCTATTGGCGTCGAAAGCGAGGACGGAAATGTGCTAAGAGAGGATAACCAAGTACTGAATAGATAGAAAGAATATATCGAAAAGTTATGCAAAGCAAAGAACAAATATCTCAATAAATATAGAGGGTGAATCCGAAGTATCTAAGGAAGATAATGGTGGGAGTATTTTGATGTCAGAAATAAAGGGGACTATAAGACATATTAAGAATAGTAATGCTGCTGGAATTGGTAGAGTTAAAAATATAGTAAAAATCTGTGATGTGCGCATGCGTATTGCGCAATGTCAACTTTGTTCTTTAAAGATATTTTTTACAATTTCAACCACAGATGCTTCTAGTAAAAACAACCATATCGCTATTGTTTCGAGTAATTGTTTATAGAGATAAATTCGATAATAATTAAGTAGAAAAGTTAAAAAAAATGATCGGACAGCTCAGTTGGTAATGCAGGGTGCGACATACAACAGTGGTTAACACCAACTTTCTAATTTTAAACAACCAGTATAGTATTCCATTTTTGAATTCGTCACAACCATCTAGATATATTTCATGTACAAATATCCGATACATATCTTCAACTGTTACGGAAATATTTAATTTTAAATAATTTTAATATATGGGTTCAGCAAGATGGAGCGCCACCCCATTACCAAATTGGTAGATAGGGAGGAGAGAAACAATGGAAAGGCCAGCACAATCTGACGGTATGACTTCATTAGACTTCTTCTTATAGGGGATATGTCTGCAGCCAGGTTTACAGTATTACATATACTCTAAATAATGCTTGTGTAACGTTCGAAGAATTTCTGGCTTGTCATGAAAAGTAATTGCTGTCTGTCTATTCGGGGCTGTGAACACATTAATATTCGAGAATGGACAGCAGTTTTCAAATTGTCACATAGCTTAGGAAAGAAGTAGCATATTTCATTTCTTGATCACTGCATTTGTTATATACCTAATTTATTTTGGATGGAGTGAGCTATGAGAAGATTGAAGAATATAAATGCATCGTCAGAAATACCGAATGTGTTCATCTAATCTAGGTTGATTAGAGTTCACAATTTTAAGGCTTTATTGTAGTGACTCATCTGAGGAGTTTTAAAATAAATATTTGTGGAAAAAGTTTAAACTTTTAGAGTCCCTTTTTCCACATTTGAGGGGCCCCTTTGAACAAGGATGCGCACCCACTGTTTTAGTACCCTTCTGGTTTAAATGTGACCTAACGAAATGTGCATCTTAACTCAAGCTTTTCAAACCACCTACCTAAACAAACTACAAGTGAAAAATTGAATAAACAACCGAAAGTATGAAAAATCTATTCTACAATCTACAATTAAGTACAACACAAAACATTATAAACCTCATCAACAAATTCCTCCACATCCTCCCCTTCCTCATCTTGTTCATCTTTATCTTCCTCTTCTGTAGTGGTTAAGGAAATATTTGTGTTAATTCCATGGCCTAATAAAGCTGCTTGCAGGTGAGACTGCATCTTAGGAAAAGAAATGTTAAAAGTTAAAGAAAGAGGGTGTAAACAGATTTGAAAAGAAGTAAAGCTAACCCAATCATGCAAAAATCAAGTTAGTGTTAACAAATTTTGGTTACCTGAGCGAATTGTTCAGAATACTATCAATTGTTATAAACAAGTGAAGTAGTAATTGCATGTAAACAAAACACAACTGTTTTTGTTTTAGTTTTTAAAGTAGTGGGGGAAAAATTTGGCTGTGGTAAAGTTCACGGCTACGGGAACATAACAGTGGCGGACTGACGAATTGGGGGCAGGGGAACACCGTTTTTCTACGAGTTATAAGCATTGATTATACACACAACTGTATAATCAATTTTATAAGGATAGTCGGGACGCAGGACAGTAAGATTCAAGAGAAAAAGGGAGTTGAAATTAAATATCAAAAGTGTGAAAAATTTATTAGCTCTTTGTGTCCCAAAACTGTTGATGCTGCACTAGATAGGGGTCTCTCAATGTGAACGTCCAAAAATCCTAATATCTTGCAGACTTTTCTAACTAAGCGAAGTTTATTTAATGAAAAAAAATGCACTCCCAATACTTGGTCGTTATTATGACTAAGAACCTGTCGTATAAATGAGACACATACAAAAATACCAAAATTCTGCACAGATTCTTCGTTGTTTCGATTAGCTTCAAGTACACTGGTGATTTCATTTGAAACTTCTACTTTACACAGGCGAGCCATTGTCATAAACCCTTCATAGGAGGATATGATAAAAACACCTGCGATTATTGGGGTATCAATTAAGAACTGCTTAGATTTCCGGCAAAAATTGTTAAACACTTCATAATTAAATACCATTTGAGTAATAACAAAGTCAACTCCTGCATCCACCTAAAATAAATTTGTAAAATTGTTAAATAGGCGAAATGTACCTTTTTTTTCAAGTGAACCAAGTCATCCCACTCTGTGGCAGAGTTAGGGTGACAATTAGGATAAGCGGCGACTGCTATGGTAAAGTAATTCCCATAGATCCGTTTTATAAATTTGATTAGATCAATAGCATAGACAAAATGTTTACAGCTTTGGGTTGCAGATGACGCTGAAAATTCACAAAGAAGTTTAATGTTTAACTTAGACGTTGGCTCACCTCCCTGGAGTACCAAAACGTTTGGGACTTGGGCAGATTTCAGGGAGTGAAGCACCTTCTCCACATCAGTTTGAGATAAGCAATTCCCTGGTACATGCAACAGCAAGCGTTTACTGTGTATACTAAGCTTCTTCAGTAACACAAGTGCTGGGATGTGCTCAATCTCACTACCATCATAATGCCATACAATGGAACAAAATGTTGGACGTAATTTGTTGAGCTCGTCTACATCTAATTTACGTTTAGGACAAATCTCAATTGAGATAATTTTTTCATTGGTTATTGAAGCTCTGTGTATAACTGCACTTAACATCTCCATAATAACAAATGACAAACTTAAAGGTCACACTCGAATTTATCAGTGATTAGATTATAACACAAACATAGTTTCATTTAATATTTAATTACTTAGTTTAATTTGATACATATTTACATTTATACTTATCAAAGACAAAATAAAACAGCCTTTGTAAACCAGATTAATTCAAATACACTTATGTACGATAAACAAAACCGTTAACAGCAGCACAAATAATTTGTATAACGATCGAAATAATTTAAGTATAGGTACGTAACACAAAAATGCATTTATCAACCTCAAAATAGGGTGCCCATAATTGGTTTCACTAGGAATGATTTGAATATCGTTCGCGTGACACAACCTCCCTTTCGAAATCTCAATGTGAGAGACAAAATGTCATAAGAAGCATGAATAGAATGATTTTAATTGTACATGTGGTAAATGAAATTTAGATGCCTACTTAAAGTCCTATTTGTCATTTCTTTTTCAATCTACTGACTATCCACTCCAAGCCTTGGTATAATCTGGAAGAAAAGACAATGTTTATGTTAAAAGAACAATTTGATACAAAAACAAATGATCAAGCAAACATACTTTTTATTTTAAGAAAATTGGTACTGTGTACGAGTACTGTATTCGTTGGTACTTTAGTTAGTTAATTTATATTTAAAAATATACGTTGCCTTAACACTAAGCATATTTTTAGGGTGTATTTTTAAGAATAACAAAAATGTAATGTTTGCGGTTAAATACTCTTTAAATAGACATAATGTCAATTTTACATAATAGGAATATGAATATCAAATTTGTTGTATTCAATAACCTTATTGTAGTTTCCAGTCATATTCCCATATTAAAATGTTTATAGTTCAGGTAATAAAAACAAACCCTAATGAGTTGTAAATATATGCTCACTGTGTAAACACTCTGTAAATATTTGGAGAAATGTTGTAAATATCTAATAAAATGTTTTATTTGAGTTATGATCCCAACATTTTTTCTTCATAATTTTTATTAGCAACTGTAATATATGAGGATGGAGGTATAGCTAGTATTTGGGCGTGCTTTGTGCACATCTTCAGAACCGAACGTCGCATAGGCATCTTGGTTAGCGTCGAGTACTTGAGCAGACGCCCGCGCCTTGTTGGGTCTTAATTATTTTGCGAATGCGCAATCTGATTTTTTTATTTGTTAAGATATTTAAATGAAATTTTGTATGTAGGCACCTCGAATAAAAGTAAAACGAATCGAATGCCAAAGCAAAAGATTTGTTCTGCGCATGCGCAATCTTTTTTTAAAATTTGTTAAGCTATTTTGAATGACATTTTTTGGTTCGCCATTAGTTTTACTTTTACTCGAGGAATCCACCTGCAAAATTGCATCACAATCGGTCCATCTGTTCTCTTTTAAATCGATGGACATACAACCATCAAGCGAGCGACAGAAGTTTTGGGAGAAAGCATAACCGTCTCGGTTAAAACTTGACGGTAAAAAATCAATACATGTGGAATATACACGTGGTGTAATAAAAAAAAACTCAAAAAGTGAATTTTATTGTTTTCATTGATCATGTGATTATGTTAAAAACGAAGTGTTAGAAAATAGATTCAGGGATGGAAGTTGTATGGGAGTCAAATGCTACTCACGGTGCGAATCCGTCAGGTTAAGTTGGTAGAAATTTGTGTGGCACCTGTCCATAGAATTTTGATTTTTGATCTTTGAAATTTATTGCAAATTTTATAGCTATGGCGATATGGAATGACAGTGATGTGTTCCAGGAAGTATGATCTGCTGCCCCTAGACTTTCCTAGAACATTTTCATTAGCTATATAAGCAAATTGAATTGTATTGAATAGCAGTTCCAATATCGATGCCGAAGTGATAAACAGTGAAATTCGCGCTCGTGTTATTAATTTAAATGTTATAAATTTGAGTACAAGTAAGTGATATGGTGTTATAAATCAAGGACCATTAATATTTTAATTGTACATAAATAAATCACGTAATTAAATTTACGTTACATTATTCACACCCAAATACTCTTCCTTAATGTTCTAGAAATTAACAATTGCCTATTAACAAAAATCAGGTTGCCATTTCGTATGCTATAAAAAAGTACCTACTCCTAAATCGTTACGATCCGGCTTACGAGGTCATCCCTCATGGCCAAATTTAAAATTATACTCACTCTTAATAAAAGGAAGAATTTTAATTGAAGCAGAGTTGCCACACTAATTGTCTACCAACTTAACATTTGCAAGCCTTAATTACATGTGTTTAGTAACACTAAACAATGGTACCTGTTACTTTTTTGTCATACATAAACTGGTTATGAGCAGGACTACCCATCTTACATATAATATTTTATTGTTAGTAATCATAACCAGTAACCACTATCACTAATGTTAAATCTGAGAAAAGTTTTACCTTCACTACAGAACCAAATGTCAATTACCTCAATTTTCCAATTAATCTTTTCGCAGAGACCAAATTCCTTGGAGACTACTTTGACACGAAACTCAACTGGGTAAGATAAGATGGGAATTGTCTAGATCAGTGTTTCTCAAACTTCTATGTCTGGTGGCACACTAAAATTATTAAACAAAATTTGCGGCACCCTATTTTTTTTATTTTTTTTTAAACCTTTTTTACAGTTAGTAAAGATTGAGGTAAAGATATAAAAGATGAGAAGTCTTTAAAAAAATAAGATTTTTATATGCTATATTCTGTGGTCGCCACGCGTAACGCTCGGCAGCTGAAGGCGAGCTCGACTCGCTCGCCTGGTTCACGATTTTTTAAAGAACATTTGCGGATTTTAAAGAAATGATAGTATTAAAATCGTCAATTGACTAAAATACCCCTTAAAGCATATTTAATCACCGCGGAATAAATAAAATGAATTTAATATTAATAACACGCATTAGTTTGTCGCTTTATAAACAATATTTACTATTTAATAGGACAGCGTGTAACGCTATTGCAACGCCGCCGCCCTTCGATTATGATGATGCGGTTTCGAACCCATTGATCGCGCGCTTTTTTTTAAAATAATAAATCACAGCAAAAGGAAGGGAGCAAAGGATTTTCCGAGGGATTTTCAGAGAGACGCCACTTTCAAATTTTTTTCTAATATTTACGTGACCCAACGAGAGATTGAGAAGTGGTAACATAGAAGAGTGTAGAAAAGACTCATTGGGAGTGGGAGTTATAAGAATGGGGAACTGAGAGATAGTGCAATTCTAAGATTTCATTGCTAAATGAAATAAGCATACAAATAAATAAAATAGAAACATAAAAAAAAGAATTGTAATTAAAAAAACCAATATTCATTTTTTATAATTGTTTTAAATCTTTTTTTAAAAATTTAAGTAACTTTAACTTAATTATATATTCAAAAATTTCACGGCACCCTTGTGGAGTACTTGCGGCACCCACTTTGAGAACCACTGGTCTAGATCTATAAATGTCTGGTGTTTCTTTTGTACCCTTCCATAGCCCATCAGATTTAAGTCACCTGAATGACTTTCAATATAAATACCCATGTATATAAGAATCTCAGCAATCCACCATAGATAAATGAAATACTCAACACGGACATAGATTTTAAAAATAAATAAATAAAAAATATACTCTACTCTAAAATCAATGGAGATAAGATAAATAAAATGAGCACGTGTCACCGAATCTATAATTTCACTCAATAATTGCACACATAGAAATGAAATTCTATTAGAATGTAATGTACCTAGAACACCCTCTTTATATACTGCTATACTTTACCTTATTCATTTTACCACCATTTTAAATTGCCAAAGCAAACACAAACCCAGCCTTCTGTAAACTGGCAAACCTACCCTTCGCCGGTGAGCGCACAACAAGACTGAATGTGCCACTGTTGTTTCTTAATCGAAGTTAAATCTAGTTGTCTGGATATTTCCGTCGCAGTCATTGAACCTTTGATGTCCTGTTTATTTGCGTAAATAAGGACTCCCGCTTTCGATAGCTCCTCGTGGGATAACATCTTATGCAATTCCTCGCGAATTGTGATTAGCCGTTCTTTGTCGGTTGAATCTATAACTACTATCACAAACTGAAAACAGAAGCACTACTATCGAATCGTCTTGAAAAAATGAACGCTTACTTCTGTGTTCGTATAGTAAGTACTCCAGGCAGCGCGCAACGACTGCTGTCCCCCTAAATCCCACATAATAAAGTGAATATTTCTCCATACGACTTCCTCAACGTTCGATCCTATTGTCGGGCTGGTATGCACAACCTCGTTCATTAAAAACTGATACAGTATTGTAGTTTTTCCCGCATTGTCCAATCCTACTATAACTATCTTATGTTCTGCAATAAGACAAAAGATAGACAAAGGATTTTATGAGCGGCAACCTACCTTCATTTCCAAATAGGCTCCACAGCTTGGCAAAGAGTAGACCCATTTTGAATTTAATTAAAAATTTAATTGTCTACAAAAACTAATTTGGCCTAGTTAATTAATTGATGAAAAGTACTTTGGCGTATTTCATTTTAAAGGTACACTTTTTATGATGGTGAAAGTTAAATTTGTTATTATTAAAACACACATTGCATAGACTGCGTTTTGGAAACGTACACGTTTGGAATTATTGTTTAAATGTCGAATTAGAATTAGTCACACACGTACACACAACACATAATTTCGTCGAATTTTAATAACAAAAACCAGAATTGATATAAATCATATGGTACGAAAATAATTTACTGTTGAATACCATGACGTATTTCTGATAAGAAATGCTAACTTCATGTCATTCAGCAAACCTCAAACAATTAGTTCCTAGCAGTCAAACAACAATCGTATAATTTGGTTGAAATATTTATTTAACAATATACATCATATCAAATCCTATCTAATCTGTAACGAATAAATCAAATAGCTGACGCGATATAATGAAATTACACTTCCATTGTTTGCTACTTATACCCTTATCAAACAATAGGTACAGTGATAAATTTGGAATCTGGAGGAGACGATATATTTGAGAAAATTGAAAATCCGCAAATCTGAAACCGAAGATTCCAATGAGTCTCCAAAATTTAAATACCTATAAGAGTCTGAAAAACCTGAATACTAAATAATCAGAAAAATCAAAAGAATTAATTCTTCGTTTCTGTTCTGTTCTCTCTCTCTAAAAATCAAATGGATCTATTTAGTAACTGTATATGTATGTTACAGCATTGATTATATACACACTGTATAATCAATGGTTACAGAAAACATACAAAAATAATTGTAAATTGATATTTAGAATCGATCAAAGGATTCAATAAGTCCAACGTGTTTTCGCATACTAGTCCTTTCTTGATACCTACATAAATAATTTCAGTGGCCCACAGACATGCACAAGAAAGTATATCTGTGAGTGGACCATCAGTATGACACGAAATTGTCTACTTATTGGTCTTCCATCTCTGCTCACAATTATTAATTCAGAAGTAATGAATAGATAATTAAATTGTAAATGTTAATTTCAAATTCTACTCAAAATAAATGTGTAGAAAACCGAAGGTTTCAAAACAAGGAACCGATAGATTACATATATTTTTAGCGCATTTTCTGGCGACGAAAGAACTTATTTTCCAAAAAAAATAGAACGCTTGGTTCCAAACCTTTAGTAGGTTGACCTAGAGGTTGATTATTATGACTAAACGTAAAGTAATAAACATTTGAGTGAAGCATTATAGCTGCATAAAAATGATGGGTTATTACAAGAAAATATTAAACAAAATTCTTACACTTTTAAGCACCCATGCAATGTGATATGAACAACCCTGTATATATGAATAATGAAAAAGCTGACACAAAATTAAAATCATAGGTGGTTGGAGTTGTTAAAAATCATTTACTATTGGGGATGTTATGGTGGGTTTCTACAATCATTATCATCATTAGTTTACTATCATTAAGAAATAGCCAATAGAAACAAAGGTATGGTTTTGTTTCTATTAGCTATTTCTTAAAGATATTGTATCAGTATAAGCCCACCATCGTCTGTGTTGCGTTGGCAATTTGGTATTGGAGTTAAGAGTACTTTGTCTGACACTGCCAATAGCACCAGCATTTTTTATACAGTGCCAATACCAATTAGACTTTTCTCAATAAAAACACATTACAAAGAAACAAAGTACTTAAAAGCTGAAAAGAAAAAATAGAAGAAAAAAGTTTCATTGGTTTAATATTTATTTCACATTTAAACTTAATGCGTTTTCATGTGTACTGTCAAAGCACTAGTTTGTGAAAATGTTTTACCACAAACTGTACAATTATAAGGCTTCTCCCCTGTATGAATTCTTAAATGAACTTTAAGCGTTGACGCCTGATAGAACCCCTTATTACAGTAGCAACAGATATGGTCCCGATCATTTGAATGTGTTTTGATATGTACTTTTAAATCTTCATTTCTAGGAAATGCTTTCGGGCAAATGCTACAGTTAAAAGGCTTTTCACCGGTATGAATTCTGAAATAAAATAGGTTTAATAACACTTTGCAATCTTACGAGATGTACCGATTATGCTTTTTCAATTCAGAAGCTGTAACACAACCTCTTCCACAATGGGTACAAATGTACGGTCTCTCCCCACTATGAGACCTAGAATGCACCCTTAATCTAGACGCATCTGGAAATCCTTTCCCACATTCCTTACAAACATAGGGCTTCTCACCTACAACGGTTAATATGAAATAGTCAATACAAGCAGAAAATCAACCTGAATGTATTCTCGAATGTACCAGTAAATGTCCGGCATAAGTGAATGCCTTTCCACACACAGGGCAAATGTGATCTTTTTGACCGGTATGTATTTTTGTATGCAGTACGAGAGCGCCTGAACTTGAAAGTCTACAAACCACTGCACAATCATAAGGGAAAAGACTTTGCATTACTCACGTTTTCCCACAAATGGTGCAGGGATGACTTCTTTTCCTCATATGAATTTTCATATGTCCCGATAAGCTATTATACCTAGAGAAAGCCTTTCCACAGACCGTACATACAAAATTGCATTCGGCAGCATGCGCTCTTAGATGTTCTTGCAATTGCGAGGATTGAGTAAACGATTTTGAGCACTTGGTGCAGGAGTACGGTTTCTCTCCTGTGTGAGTTCGCATGTGTTGACTTAGATCGTCCGATCTTGTAAATCCCTTACCACATTTGCTGCATAAATGCGATTTTATACCTTTATGTATCTAAAAGTAGATAACTAATCTACACCTGTTCCAGAAGGCCTCTCATTATTTCAAATAACTACAAAACAAAAACAAATCAATACAAGTTGATGATGTTTTAAGAGTTCATTAGTTGCAAGGCCCACGAGACGTCGTCTAGTATAAAAACAGTCACTTCAATCATGCAGGTAGCCACCCACTGCAAAACGTCCTTTTCTTTGCATGGGCTAGATAGAGATGAAAATATAATAGCATAATTTGTGTACACCTCACAGGTTACCAGTTTTGCAGTGGGCGGCTACCTCCGACTGTTTTTGTACTAGACGATGTCTAATACGATCCGCAAATCTGTCAATGCCATTATTTTGAGGAATCTGTACAAAAGGAGTGGCGGCAAAAGAATATAAGAGATAAATGTACAAAATAATGGTCATTTGTTAATCAGATGAGTAAAGCATGATTTCATGAACTGGTGTTTAAACCATCATTGAGCAAGCACTAAGAAAGTTAACTGATTTTGTATAAGTGCATCAAAACATCCTAATTACCTTTTGATGCCTAGATAGGGAACTGGAACTTGATAATTGCAATTTGCACACATTGCAAATGTGAAGATGTTCATCAGAATGTAAACGTTGATGAATCTGCAAAAATAAGATATTGAATTATTTAAGGGATTCCAACCTAATACCTTCAAATCATCTGAACTTGTGAAATAGGCAGTACATAGATTGCATGCGAATTTTTGAATGTGTTCATTATTAATAAACGCTTCGGTAATGAGTTTTTTGTCGGTACCATCAGAGTTGTGATGATCACATGCAATGCTCCTTCGAAGTGTCACAACAGAGCTTAAGCACCTTTGTTGAAAAGTGTACGCGTTAGTGAGACACAGTAGGCAATCGTTGCACATCTGTTTCGGAAGTTTGTCATTTTCTGAAACCTGGAAAATACATTAGGACAATCGGTCTGATATAATTTATTATTACCTTAAATGGAAGGCAATTGTTTAGCATTTCGATAATGCTAATATACCTGCTGTTAATCAAGTTTTTGCTCTGTATCGATACCATTCCTTCAGAGGCCACCAAGCACGTTCGACATATATCAGATATCTGAGTATTATTCATGTTTAACACTTCAATAACTGCACTTTCTGTATAAAATTAAACCCAAAAAATTAGTTAATGCCAAAATCAGTACTACATAACCTTAAATAATAAATTTGAAAGAGAATGGCGGTGGCAAAAGTCTCGAACATATGCGGTGCCAACCCAAATACAAGCACGACCAACAAAAATGTGCTGCCAGTAGTGATTATAAAATAAAGCAAATTGAAAACTATTTACAATTAATTACACAATAATTGTGCTAGTCAGTTCTAGTTTCCCTTTTTCCACTTTTTATTTTCATGTCTGAAACGAAAAGAAAAACATTAACATATTAATTAAACAATTTGAAAATTGGGAAAAGGTATATGGTTTAATTACAAATCAGAAAAAGACTAAGGTAATGAGAATTGGAGAGGCAGAAGAAAATGAAAGTGTATGTAAAAGACGAAATGCTTGAACAAGTAGAAAGTTGTAGATAGGTATCTGGAAAGTAATAAATGATTGGAGAAACTGGAAAGAAACAAAGACTCGCTTTGGAATGGCAAACGAGCATTTATTGGGAAATGTACATAGAATACTGTGTAGCATGTTGGACATGAGTCTAAGGAAAAGAATAGCAAAGTGCTTGATATATGTACGAATATGTTAAACTAGGATAATTTAAAAAAAATATAAGGAAGGAAAGTGGATGTGGAGAAGAATACTTGGAATAAAGGGGTGTGACAGGATTAAGAACGAACAGGAACTACAAAGAATAAGAGAAAGAAGATCTTTGTATAAAACAATTTTGAGAAGGACAAGAATGCGGCTTGGTCATGTGCTAAGAGAGAACAGTTTGCTGAAGGACGTGACCGGTGGAGCCGTGGAGGGTACAAGGGAAAGAGGAACAAGAAGAGTAAAGATGGTAGACGATCTTGAAAGAGGGGAGAGCTCGGGGGAGAGCTATACGCGGATATGAAAAGGCAATATAATAATCTTTATTTGTCATTCCACCAATCCTTGGCTTCGACACGTCATTGACACATAGCATCCAATAAAAAAAAAATATACATATATAGGTACATAAAATAACAAACAAATATAGTGATACATGCAAGTAATAATACAACAATAAAATTATTCATTAACAATAGTACATTTTTAAAACAGTAGAAGGAATTTTACATTAAATCACAGGGTGTGTTTAGGTATGCGCTTACAGAGTAAAAGCAGTGGTTCAGAAGATGGTTCTTAATAGTATTTTTAAACTGATTGAATTGTTGACATTTAACAGGATCTGGAAGATAGTTGTACAATTCAACTCTTGGACTATTATTTTTTGATTTGCTTAATCTGTAATAAGAAACCCTTATATTTTTTGCGCCTCGAGTACCGTAATTATGAGAATAGTCATTTGTTGCAAAGTGACGCTTGTTTTTATGTAGATCCAATAATGTTGCGTAAATGAAAATACATGGTAGCGGCATGATACGTAATTCCTTGAAAAATGGTTGACAATGAGCAAGATATTCGGCTCCTACTATGATACGAATTATTTTTTTTTGCAATATAAATATCTTGTTTACTTTGGAGGAATTCCCCCATAATGTTACACCATACTGTAGAGGTGGGAATGAACCAAAGAAAAATAACAGGATCGTAAAGTATTCATACCGACTGCTCGCTTCAAATTCCTTAATACAAACAATGACTTGGACAATTTACAAAAATACGTGATCGATATGATTGTTCCGCGTTAATTTGTCGTCTACATACACTCCTAATACCTTAGCGCACTTCCCGGAGGTAACCTTGTTGTTCGTTGAAAAGGTCACGATATGCGTTTTATTTTTATTTAGTTTTAAGTTATTGCTAATGAACCAGGTATCTGCTTCTTGTAATAAATTTTGGCTTTTGGCGATTGCTATTTTAACATCTTTGTCCGATACGAGTAACGAAGTGTCGTCAGCATAAGCAATACAGTGATTCGGGTGCATATAAGTAAAAAAGTCATTTGTGTACATAATAAACAATAATGGTCCTAAGATAGAGCCCTGAGGAACTCCATTCTTCGTATAGATTAATTCAGATTGAACACCATCCACAAAAACACACTGTTTTCTATTATTAAGATAAGATGAAAGTAATGTTCCAGCTAGCCCTCTAATACCATATAGATGTAGCTTATCCATTAGAATCTTAAATGAAACGCAATCAAACGCTTTCGATAAGTCACATAAAATTAGTAAAGCCTGTTCTCCTTTCTCAAAAAATTGAATAATTGTAGCTATCATCTTAGAAACAGCTTGTATGGTGGAGTGATTTTTTCGGAAGCCGTATTGACCACGATCAAACATGTTATTACATTCAAAATAATTATAAAGTCTCCTGTTTAGTATTATTTCAAAAATTTTAGAGAACATTGGTACAATAGTGATTGGTCTATAGTTGTTCATATCATTACAATCGCCTTTCTTAAATAATGGTAATACAACAGAAACTTTAAAGACGTCAGGGAAATTGCCTTCTGAAATACAGGAATTGAACACGTTTACTAAATAGTCAACATATATTTGTATAGTTTCCTTGATTAGCTTGCTATTGATGCCATAATAATCAGTACAGCGTGAGTTACTTAGTTTAATAAGAGTGGATACGGTAACATGGAACCTGCGTATAGCAGAAAACTACAAAAAAGTATAAAATTAGAGACTTTATTAATTTTAGAAGACGTCATCTGAAATTGGGTAGGTCTTAATGAGTGAAGCAAAAATATACCTGGGCTGAGGTAAAAATTTTTCATTTGTGGCAGAGCTGGGAATTTCCTTAGATTAGTTTCAAGCATTCTGCCGGCTACTCCACCTCCAGTTACACCAAAAGCTAGTGAATTTATTTAAAGATGTTTACAATGATAATAAAATCGTACAATTTGCGCAAACACATTGGTCTAATTACACGACCGCCCTCCTGCGTCTTCTGCTACGGCTTCGTCCACCCGACGAGGAAGATTGTCGACTCGACGAAGAAGCGCTTCGCTTCCTTCTTCGACCTTTTCCCCGTTTGGATATACCTTTACGTGACCGGCTCCTAGACGAACCGCCCTTCTTCCTACGACGACCCTCAACAATGTCTAGCGAGACGTCCCCCGCATAATATTTGTCTCCGGCTTTGCGTATAGCGCCAAACTGAATTCCACTTTCTAGCATTGGGGTAATGTATTTTTCGTACTTGCTTGCAAAACTGTATTCGTCCGTGAGAATTTTCCGCAATTGCTCTTCAGATACACCATTATTCGTCGACGATTGATTCTTTAAATCTTGCAGGACACCTAAAATAGACTTAGAGGCCTTATTAGCGTCAGAAGGCATGGTTAAGCGAGGTAGCAATTTGGTAATTTTGCAATATTGTAAAAGACAAAAAATTGTCACCGAAAATTTGTTTATCTACTAATCAAAACAAGGTTCGGGTTACTATACCAATAGTAATATAAAATGATCGCTATGGAAACGCCTTGTGAAAAGGCCGTGGTCGTGTTTCTATGACACGATATGATATCAAATAAATGTCTGAATGACCGGGAGACTTCAAAACCATATCACTAATAAACCAGTTCGTGAGTTGAGCATATATGCTTTCTATATAATTTTGACCCAAAATCGTTCTGAAACCTTCATTTTCAAGTCTACTTTCTGTCAGGAAATTTTAGTTTCTATGACAGAGGCAGAGCAGACTGCGTTTCCTGCCGCTTGTCACGTTACTGGCCGCACCTGTCACTTTACCGACCGCATTTTTGACATTTCCAATCTACAATGGGTACGTTCCACTTAACGCCCACAACGATCACGACCGCGACCGCGGTTTTGTCGTTCCACTAGCTTAGAGGCGTTGTGGGCGAACCCTTAAGTGGAACGCTTTTGGGTACGATGTGACGTCACGCGTGAGTGAACAGTTTTCCAACATGGACGCCGTTGAGGAGTTCGTAATGCGTAAAGGATACAAAGTGGGGTGGATTATGAATTCAAAAGTCATATTAAGTTAGTAAATATTTTTTTATTTTTCAGTACCAATTATTGACACATACTTCTTCGCTTTACACAAGATATTGCTTCTTGTTAATAAAATATTGAAGACGACATTTGAATTTCTATCATAAATGCTGCAGCCATACTTAATACGATGATAATGAACACTTCTCCCCAGAATTTCTTCTGGGAATGCTGCTTCGAAAACAATTTCTCTTCTTCATTCAAAACTAACATGCATTTTCATTAATCGTTGCATTACCATTTATACGAGTCTCATTCGCATTCCCTGGTAAAGCACTTTGCAGCAAACTAGTTGCAAATCTAAGATCTACAATAAAGAAAATTGTGTTAGAGCAGAATTTTCCTTAACAAATAACTTTAACATTCACGAATCAGCATATATACTTACCAGTTTGTGCATGTAGAACATCCATAGTGTAATGTCCACCACAAGGTTACGTTCTGAAACACGTAATTATATTTTCTCCATAGCGAAAACGAAAAATTTGTAACGCATGCGTGTTCAAACAATCAGTGTCTGACAGTTAAATGTCTCTAGAAATGTCTCCTGTCAAGAATGTAAGGTTATAAAATTAGAACGCCCACGCTGACCCAGGTACGATAGGCGAGCGCCGTGGGCTCGTTGCGGTCGCTAATAATGACGTCATATCTGACGTCGCGATTGCGACCATAACGACTGTGGTCGTTATGTGGAACGGCAGCCGGGCGTCGTGATCGTTGCGGGCGTTAAGTGGAACGTACCCAATATGACTCCTGTCATCATTGACAGATTGACATTAAACAAAAGTTATATATAAAAGTTGAAATTTTGTATTAAAAGACGATTTCGGGTAAAATTTAATACAAAACTCGTCAGTAAAATGTCATTACCTGATGACTCGGAAATTAAAGTACCTACTTTTATGTAAATAACTATTCCCAGTAGGAATTTATCAATAATGAATGGCCCTAAAACTTCGAAGGAAGTAAATACACATACTGTAAGTACCTACTGAGAAAAGATTGATGTTTATTTGTTATATTGAGGAATGGAACAATGTTTCTGCTCGGGACTTGTTCCTGACAATATATGTCCAAAAAATGTATTCATCCTGAAGATATTTGCTTTTGTCCTAATAGGTACATACCTACCTACTTTATCTAGCCGTATATTGAAGATAGTAACAAAAAACAGTGTAGGCATATTGTTAGTTTCCTCCATTACTATGAAATAGAGAATATTTAAGGACAACAAATTAAACCATTATAAAATGTTAGGCAGTACCTCTTGAGGTGAATATTTGTAACCATATCTTCAATACTTGTCTAGCTAGAGTATTAGGACAGAAGCAAATTTCTTCAAGATGAACTAGTTTTTTGGAACATACCGTCAGCAAAAGAGAAGCGGGTAAGATGTGTCGGGAGGGAGAAGATAACACATTGTGCAATACCTCGAATAGGGAAGAGTTTCAATCGTTTCTCAAAATGTGCAGATTCTATCCACGTTTCAGGACCATATCTTTCTGAGATTGTACCTAAGAGAAAAATGGTTTTGAAGCATAGACCATATATGACTTATCCATTACGTATAGTTATGCTACTGTACCCCTGGCCCAAATCCCTTACCATCGTATAGTCCCCAGTTCCATCTTTTCTATGAAGATAAAAATGGGGAATGTGGCCGTTGTCCGCAAATATACACAATGCCTTGATACGATCCTTATAATGACTTATACAATTCGTCAATCTTATGATTTGCACGTTGGTTCCATTGGTGCTGCTTCAAACACGAAGTGCACAATTGCCTCTTGTTCTTTGGCGTAAGTTTTATGAAACCAAGGAACAAACACTCTCAAATGTACGGTCGTACCATAGTAACACAACACAATGCCTCAGCCTTCTGCAAAACACATTTGCATAGCGTTTATTACATTTTGATATTTGTAGTAACCCAAATTTTGTTTTGTTTAGTAAACAAATTTCAGGTGACAAATTTCGGTGTTTCACGCAAAATCAGAAAACTGCATTAGCTATGTCTTCTAACGCCAATAAGGTCTCCAATTTGATATTACGCGCCCTGAGGCAATCGTCAACCAATGATGGCGTGTCTGAAGAGGAATTGCGGAACCTTCTCACGGACAAATATCGTGTGGCCAGTAAATACGAAAAGTACATTATCCCAATGCTAGAAAGCGGAATTGAGTTTGGCGCTATACGCAAAGCAGGGGAGAAATATTACTTGGGCAACGTCTCGCTGGACATTATTGAGGCTCGCCGTAGGAGGAAGGGTGGTTCGTCAAAGAGTCGGTCCTCTTCACGTGGTGGTTCAAAACGGGGAAAAGGCCGGCGAAGGAAGCGAAGTGCTTCTTCTTCAAGTCGATCCTCGTCGCGGGGAAGAAGCCGTAGCAGAAGACGCAGGGGGCGATCCTGTTATTAGATCGATGTTTTTAGCAAAATTATACGATTCTATTATGACGGTTAATCCTATTACACAAAACGCATATATACAAGCACAATTGTAGGAAATAAATTCTATAACTTTTGGTTTTTCTTTTCTGATAATAATGGAAACTGTACATCAAACCAATAAGAGGAAATAATAGCGCAAAGTTTGCCTACGAAAGTGTTGATTTGTAGTGCGTTAGGAATAACGTAGTGAGAAACTCGTTAGATTTCATGCTTCGTTAAAAAAGGGTAGGTAAGTCGCAGAAGGACCAATTTTATTTGCGATAATGGAACTCTGACTTTGAGCCGCAAGTTGTTGTTGTACAGGGTGCCACAGAACCTTTTTCCAGTGAGATGCCGAAAAAATAAATGCACACCAAGCGCAGGTTCAATACTTATTTTTGTGTATCTCCCATCTCGAACAGTCTGCAAGATTTCGCCGCAGCCGCACCATGGCATTGCTTCGACGCGACGTCTTTTGCGAGTGCTAGTCATGATCAGTTCTTGCCTTCCTCAGAATGGTGTTCTTCTGTGTCATTCAATAAGTTCGCAATCAATCACTCTGAAACAAAGAAAAACAATATCCAAATGAATTATGCCCGGTTTCACAAACGATGATTAAGGTTAATCACTGATTAAAAATATTAGAATGGGAAACAAATAAGCGTATATTCAATGGTTGCTAACATTCTAATATTTTTAATCATTGATTAACCTTAATCATCTTTTGTGTAACCGGGCATTAGTATGTTAGCCAGATCTTCATTTGTTTTAAAGAAGTTATTTTGGATCCATATTGTACCATGTATAAAATTAGGCGCCACCGAACTCGATATGTACAATTGACCCTTTGGCCTTTGAACAAAATGTTGCGCCATACTCGTTCGATGATGGGTTCTAATGAGCTGTATAAATTTGAAACTAATTCCGTTTTGTTTTAATACGGTAGATCGGTAGAATTTGATTTTGACAGTGTAAAGCCCCATTCAGATAGGTGGTAGTGCAGTGCTGTTGCGATGCGGTGCCTTGAAATACGCATACCCATATGGCAATTCACAATGACATGTGCAGTGCAGACGAATTGCAGCCACGTGCCGAAAGTATGTAAACTTCAAACTTTCTGCACTACAGATAGCAAGCACCAATAGAAGTGCAACATATTTGTCGTGGCGATCTGTCAAAGCAAATTTGCTGCTGCTGTTGTCGTTGATTGGTCATACTTGTGTAGGCGGGCCAATTTTGCGGTGATTGTGAAAGCAAATGTCAACATGACAGCACCATCCCGCACCGCACAACAAGGCAACGGCACCGCACTACCACCTATCTGAATGGGGCTTAACTCCAAGGTTAAATTTAGTTCACAGTGTTCGTATTAAAATACGTTACATTATTTTAACATTAGGTAAGCAAATGAATTGAGACGAAGTTGCAGGAATCTGGATTTTAATGAGTATGTAATGCGTGAGAAATGAGACATTAGCAGCCACAAGCAGCCACGTACATTAATAGCGTGCAATTATTGCGATTTATATGAAACAATTGGCGATAGTGTTATTTTAAAAACGGATTGGTCCGATAGTTAAGGGTCAAGTGACTTATAAAAGTGAGTACTAGAAAAAAGTTTAGTGCCAATATTCGTCGCAACGCTGTAATAAAGCAAACGTACTGCGGCTTCATCGTCGGCATCATAAAACCTCCCATTGGTAAATAGAATAGAGAATTGAATAATCGCGCGTTTTGTTTTTTACACGTCAGCGATGTATTATTGGAGAAATTGGATCAGGAAGATATCAAGTAAAATAAATTGGAGAAAAAAGTATAGACATACGAGTTGCCAAAATCGCTACGTAAAGTCTACCAAAAAACAAAGCGGTGGAAATTCGAATCGAGACGACAACAGCTTCGTCCAGCTAAGGTCAGCGACTGCTGTAATTGCAACAATTAAAAAGATACCAATTTCAATTAAATTTAGGTGCCGCTCTTTTAGAGTGGCTGTCAGAATTCTAGTTTTCATTACCTATTTCAAGATATAATAATAAAAAATGTATTTCAATTTTTAATTAACCTTTTGGAGTTATTATTGTTCTACAAATGGGAAAAGAGTTTTTGTGTCAAAGAGGGGACTATAAAAATTACATAAACTATCTAGTATATAAAGTATAAAGTTCTAAATTAATATATTTCCAAATTTGGCTAACAAATTATTGACAATTAATGAGAAATCAGTGAAATAAAAATGAATTAAATTCTACTATTTTTATCTGAGCTAGCTGGAAGTAAATGTACAAAAAGGTAAGTTCCAAAAGTACTTCAACATAACAAGACGAAGAAATTGCAAGAAGAATTTGCACCACGACCCTGAAAAAATTTTTAACTTTTTGCAAGATACCAACACCCTTCCTTGGGTCAGAATTAACGAATCACCCAATTTGTACCTAACCGGTACAGTGGGTAAAATATGGTGGTTGGTGTGAACACCAAAGTTTTACCAGTTCAAGATGTATAAAAAAACACCATTGCCAGCTTCTTTCTTGATTTCTTATGAGCAACATTTATGATGTCTTCAAAATCAATTTCTCTCAGTACGCCGTATTCTATACTCATTAATTAAAAACTAAGTCCGTCTTGAAGCCAACTTGGAAATGAATGTTCACTTCTGCAATTTGTTAACAGCATAGGAAAATTCTGATTGATATTTTAATATTCGGAAAAATCTTAGGTACGAGTTGTTGTATTTATGTCAGAGTAGGCATCTGTCATGATAGATTTTCAAATGTAATATTTATTGTAAAATGTTTATGTGTGAATTATAAAATGTGTTCTAAGTATTTCTTGCAATTATTCACAATAAGATACAACACGAGTATTTCTTGAATTTTGATTTTGAACATCCTCATAGTATATTTCACAAAAATGTCAGCATTTACCTTTCGTTCGCCTAAAGCAATTGTTGTCTACTAGACAGAAAATCAAACCACTGATAGATCTCTTTACATGACTCAGATCTTTATTGCAGGTTAGCTGCTAAGGTGTTAATTATCGGAAAAAATTTTTCCTTCACAGATAAATTTACCTAATCCGAAAGCTTCTAGATATTTTTATATGGGAAAGGTTTTTGTATCTTACTTCCGAGAATTTAGCTAGAGCAGGAAGGCCCATTAGGCTATTCTAAGCTGTAATCTTTCACTTTTTATGACGAGGGAAGTCGAGTAGGCCAGGAGTTTTTTAAATTTCTTTTTTATTATACCTGAATCACAATCTCCGTTTTAAACACTCAAATGCGTGCGAAAAGGGGCCTTTAAAACACACGTGCTTTAAAGTTGATAAGTAACGATACTTCAAGTATGACTTTTGAAACTGTCATCTGGATGAAATAAAAAATCCTCTTAGGTCGCTTTCTGTAAATGCAGAACATTTCTTTGGCTTTTGTACCTATCCTTTGGTTGAAGCTTTCACAAACGCGCGTAATTTAGGGTATGCTTCCAAATCTGTTCCACTTTTTAATCGCATCAGCATTGCTTTAAAGTTTTGAATGAATGCACCAAAATATAGAAGATTTAAATACCTTTGACATTTCCTTCATATGTGCCAGCATTATGGATGCATTTAAGACTGTATTCGTAAGTAACTTCCTATTCATCAATGGAAACAACTTTTCATATTCTTTATAATAGGCTTTACTGGAGTTGGATTTTACACCTACCAACGTTTGTTTTGATTTTACGACAATCGATTTAATGGACGGTGTATTATCTTTTTCAACGGAAATCGTTTAATTCACAAAGACGATGATTTTTATAAGCAAACGTCAAGTGACATTTCCATGGCAATCGTGAAATTACGAACACCCAGTCCACTTAGTTAGACATGTATTCGAGTATAACGTCAATATGACTTCATTGTATTTCCTATTTTTAAATTATACTGCAGGTATAATAAAAAATACTATAAGATACACGTGTATAATTGGTCTTTAAAGCACTTGCAACGTTAAAGGCACTCCGCTTTGCGTCGTGCCCTTAAACTCGTTGCGCGTGCTTTAAAGACTTGATTATACACTTGTATCTTAATATACTAATATGATATCCTTAATGTTGTCCAGCTATGCGAAAATATCAAACGCACTTACGCACCCAAAAATTTTGAGATTTGGCTTTAAGATAAAGGTGCGAAGTGTTGAGTATACAAGGATATCGTGTTGTAACGAGTTTTTGCCGTTCGAGTAAAATACACGGTGGGGTTTGCATTCTCATCAAAAATTCTTATAAATGTACACCTTTGAATTTGTTGGGCTTATCGAAGGAAGTTAATTTTGAAGTGGTTGGTTTAAAATATCATAACATTGAGATTGTGTCTATTTATCGTTCACCCAGCGGAGACTTCGATATATTTATGGAGCAATTACTGCATATGTTAGAAACTTTAAATTTTCGTAAATTAATCATTATTACTGGCGATTTTAACGTCAAATTCAATACTAAAGATGAAAAAGCGCACCAGCTATGTAACATTTTTCTAACGTTTGGGTTGAAGCAGTCCGTTTTTGAGAACACTAGAATGCAATCATGTCTGGACAATATTTTTACAAACATTCCAGACTTTTCAGTTACGGTCTTTGATACATATTTTTCTGATCACAATGCTGTTGGTTTTACCCTTGGCATCACTTCCCATAAAGATTGTAGTGGAAATAATGGTAGAATTACATATAGACCAATCACCAACATTGGATTATTTCGCATGTATAATATATTACAATATGTCAATTGGGAGTTTATCAGTGACGAACGAATTGATTCCGAGACTAAATTCGATATGTTTGTAACACTTTTCTCAGAGACTATTGTTACCACTTTTCCTCTAAAGTGTAGGCTTGCAACTTCTACTTCCAGGGAAGTAAACTGGTTTACTGATAGCTTAAAGCAACTACGTTCAACACTGCAACTCTGTAGTGATATGCTTAAATCTAAAAATCTAATTCATCTCTAGTCACAAAGGAGATGCTCAGAAATGTGAAATTGAGATACAAAAATGAATTATCAAAAGCGAAAAAGATGACAAATGATAAATTCATAAAAAAACTCTAAAAATAAGGTAGCTGCGATGTGGCAAATCATTAAAGGCAAGAACACAGCAAAATTTGAACCATGCGCTGAACTGAATTGTAACATTTTTAATGACTATTTCATTGACTCAATTGATAACATTGTTAACAATATTCCAATTGATCATGATATAGATCCTTTAGATTTTATGGAATTGAGCCATTTTACCTTTAGCTTTAAAGAAGTGGGCTTTAGTACAATTAGGGAGTGTATCGATCGACTAAGAAATAGCTGTAGCAAAGATCCTTATGACATTACTGTAAAAATTGTGAAGTCAATGAAGGATGTTATACTATCTCCATTGACAAAGTTAATTAATAAATGTATTGCGAGTGGTACGTTTCCTTCCGTATTAAAAATTTCTAAAGTAGTACCAATTTTTAAAAAAGGTTGCTTGTCTGATCCTAATAACTATAGAGCTATTTCTTTGACGCCCGTGTTTAGCAAAATTTTTGAATCTGTTTTAAAACTTCAAATGGAAACTTATTTCGAGGATCATCATATAATTAGTCAATCGCAATTTGGGTTTAGAAAAGGGAAGTCTACTGCTCTGGCTGTGAGTAATTTAGCAAGAACAGTTATGAAAGGATTTGAAAATAAAAAATACATTAGTTTAGCAGGTCTTGATTTTACCAAAGCATTTGACTGCGTATCACATAAAATCTTAATCGATAAACTAAGAAATTATGGTTTTGGAAACAAAAGTGCACAGTTAATCCACTCTTATTTATCAAATAGACAACAGTATGTAATTTACGATAATGGTGTTTCAAAATTGTCACAATTAAAGCACGGTGTGCCACAGGGATCTGTTTTGGGGCCCATCTTGTTCCTTATATATATTAATGATCTTCCGCATTGTGACCTATACACCGACCACATTATGTTTGCTGATGACACTTCTCTTATTAAACAATTTGATAGTGAAGAAGAAATCAATGAGTGCATGAAGTTAGCTATAGGAAGAGTTGATAAATGGGTAAAATCAAACAACACAGCGCTTTAAATGCATCAAAGACACAAACCATGACACTAACGCTAAGGAAACAAAAATTCATTAATCAAAATTCAGATTTTAGGATATTGGGAGTAACGTTAGATCCACATCTAACTTGGAACAGACATGTAGCTATTCAAAGTGCTAAATTATCTAAAGCTATATTTGTTATCAGGAATCTTAAAAGAGTTGCTTCAATGGAAACTGTAATTACAGCCTATTATGGCATTTTTCATTCAATTTTATCATATGCAATTCTTGCATGGGGCCATTCGAAACATGCAAATACTTTATTTGCCTTACAACGGAAGTGTATCCGAATAATAAAAAATATCAAGTACAGAGAG